GGATGATTATCAAATGCAATGAACTGACATAAAAAATATGATATGAACTTCCTACTAACTATATTATTAAGCAATGTGCTTGTTATTTATGTAGATGTAAAAAAGGTTTATACAAGACTCTTTTGGGTAGCATAATTAAATATGTACTAAATATAATGAGATTAAACTTCAGTAGCTGTAAAAAATAAAGTAATAAGCTTTACAGAAAGTGAACCCAGGCAGTTGACATATATTTCTGTTATAGCTAATGCTACACTGTCTTGGTTGTCTTGGTTGTGTTTTGTTTCTTTTTTTTTTTACATTTTAATGTTTTTATAGAAAATTAATTTTATGCACTTTTTTTCATATAAAGACTGAATAGATAAGCAAGATAAATTAATGTATCGAAAGATTTACCTGCATTTCATTTGTAAAACTTCACTGTGCTTAGAAACTAGTACTCAAGCACTCTCATGAACCTTTTATATACAAAATCACCACATTTCCAAATCTACTGTAGAGTTTTTCATTTGCAGCTAAAATCTGCAGCTGATGTAAAACTAAAGTCTAGAGGTAAGGAAACCAACGTCAAACTTCTGATTTCAGTGGAAATGAGGTCCGAAGTCTGTCACTGAAAGCAAAATGTAAGATGAGGTTTCTAAAGGACTGTAGATACCTCTGTAATGGGACATTCAGTGTCCTGGAAGTGAATTAGGTGAATGAATAGACTGACACCAGAAGAAAATCAACAGACTCCTTTAAGATCTGGGATACTCAAAGTCCTGCCTTGCTAATTCAGAGTCCCCAGCAAACATCAGAAATTAAATCCTGGTATTGCAGACCATGGATTGACAGATTCACTTGCTTGTGGCCATTTCTCTTGATCTCCACTGGAAATTGTCTGCCCCACCATGCCACATTTTCCAAAACCAGGACAAACATACATTTCACCCCGTGCCAGCCAGGGAGGGAGAAAGGGAAGACTTTCTTCTCACTCTGTGTTAACTATGCTGCAAAGAGCTCTATGCTAATTAAATGATATCAGCCTGACAGAACAGATTATATGCGATCCCAGCATTAATTAGTAATTATTCCTTCCTGTATTGGAAGAGTTCAGTGTAATCACATCAGTGATCTCACAGTGATGGGCAGAGCTTTTACACTGAGAAGATGTGCACCAGGAGTGGCAACCCCCAAGCCAGGTTATAACAGAGGGTCTTGGGGTTTTAGCCCTGGGAACCCAAAGCTGAAGCTGCACAGCTCAGAGAGCTGAGGTCAAATCTGCTTTTTCTGGCTCCTTGTGAGCATTGTCCTTATCCCCTTTTTTTTTTTTTTTTTTTTTTATATATTTTATTTTCAGGTAAAAATCTACCACATTAATACAAGGGCACGCTGGCATATGGTGCTGAGTGACTCCCATGCCTTCACAGAGGGTCTGTCGCAGCGGCATCTGAAGGGAGCAGAGCATAGGCAGTGCATGGAAACAGATGTTTATAATCCTCTGCCTTTCTCAGCTGAACAAAGACAATGTGCTGCCCCACTGCACATCTGGATCACTCTCACACACTATGATCCTGTTAGGATTCCCAAGACCTTTGGGGAAATTAATGGGTTAGTGTCATTTGCTCTAGTTCTGCAGAGGACTAACCAGTATAGGAAGGGTAAAGGGGAGCAGAGGGAACTTGGCTTTCGTCCCTCCTCCATGAGGAGTTCTCCTGCAGAACCATGGGCACCATGTCTCCCTCAGCTGTGATGTGGAAACCCTCTGCTGTTCGGTCCCAGGGCTGTGTGAGTTTGGAGACTCATTGTAATGGGAATTATAGGAGACAGTAAGAAACTTGTGAAGTTCCTATGACGGTGGGAGATGGGAGAGAGCTCACCAGCCCACAGCAGCTGAGCTCTCATCCTGACAGGTATTCCAGTTTTCAACAGCTCATGCTTCCCTTCTCATATACAGGTCAAGTGCCTCCTTGGTGAGTGAGGCAGTCCCTGGGGAGACTGTAAGGAGCTCCTCCAGGCATGGGAGGGATTTTCTGGCTGTTTTCTGTGTTGTCTGTTTGGTGTCATGCCACCTACAACAGCTGCTCTGCTTACTCTATGCTGGTAGCCTGAGAACTTTCCTCAGCTTGTTTTACTTCAGCCAAGAGTGAACTGAACTTGGGCCACTTGCAACATAGGGCAAGTCTTGAGCCTCACACTAGCTTCTTTCCCTTCTTCTGATCCTTTCAGATGCTGCCACTGCATGGTGGGTGCTAGAGACAGGCTAAGGGACAGAGCTCATGAACGTGTGCTCAGGAAGACCTACAAATCTGCATAATCACACAGAAAATTTACACCATGTCCTACCCAGGAAGAGCATTAAATTAAACCTGTGGTGTTGCTGAACTATCTCAGAATTTCAGCAGTAATTATGAATACTGCAAGCTCTTTTGGTGCTTTATTTGAAAGGTCCAAATATCTTTTTAGACTCACTGAGCAATGGCTCACCAGCAACAGCACACATGAATATCAAGAACAAAAGTGTCCATGACCATATGGGTAATTTAGGAGTAAATATAACTCTGAATCATACAGATATTTGTAGTCAGATCATTCAAGTCACTTTGTACAACCAAACTATTAAAATACAGTGAACACAAAAAATGAGTGGAGAAAAGAAGTGAAAGTTTCTAATCCAAGTTCATGAGTATATCTGCTTTGACTTTTGTCTCTCAAGTACATGAACAACAAAGACATCTGTCAGATCCAGAGGGAAGTTTAACTGTTTCAGCACATGTTGTTACCTTGAGTTATTGAATGCAATAGGGACCTGATGATGGAGCTACATTAAAACTTCTGGACAGAGACACAGGTAAATGGGACTCATGTCTCTGCTGGGGCAGATCTTAGAACACAGCATGTGCTAGATTTGAAGAACAAGTAGTAAGACCAGAGAGAAAACAATACAATGTCAAGACTATTACTCCATCTTTTTCTTCTTTTCTTAGGAAAATAAAAAATTAAACAAAATAAGTAGTCTGTCAGTTAGGTTCAGTAAATATTCCCGTGTTACTGCCGGGTTTAAAGCTGACTTTGTTTCTCCTGTGTTTTTTGGGAGGTGTGAAAAAAAACCCTAATAATGTAGTCTTACAACTGACAGTAACTTACAGGCTGAGAAGCTATCTGACCCTGCCTCTAGGAATGAGAAACACCAAAGGTTTTAGGTGACCTTTTCAAGGGCAGCTGTTCTCCCACTTTTTTTTTTTTTTTTTTTTTTTTTTTTTTTCTTTTGTGCCAAGTAAGCACAGAATTTCTATACAAGAACACGCAACTCACAATAAATCAATTCCAGAATAGTTATCAAGATGAAGTTTAAGAATTTTTAAAAAATGGCAGAACAGAAAGAGTAACAAATATGGAGAGCTGCAAGAAGTGTATATTAAGATGAGATTTACCCATCATGTACTGTCTCCCCCACAGAAGGATGGTTCCAGCTGAAAATGCTGGAGGAATATATTATATTCAAAGGGTATAGGGTGCAGGGAACCACAAGGACAAGACCAAGACAAGGTAGCAGCAGGAGAGGGAATAAAACAGAGAACACCTGGGGGTTCAGAGATTGGACTGATTGCATGGAGACAGGGGGAACCACAGATCTGGGTGGTCTGGATTTGGATGAAGCCAGGAAGCTGCAGGTGATATGACTGTGTGGTCTGTGATTACCACAGTGAAGGGAGGAACATGCTGCCCACACTCAGTTGCTAATCAAGGGCCAAGGGAATGAGGAGGAGGAGGGAGCAAGGGCAGAGGAGGCAGAGGAATGCAGGGACAGGGCTGAGCAGAGGGGAAAGGGTTTCTGCCCATGGAAGAAGAAACATCTCCAGGCTGGGATGAGATGGTGGAAACAAAGGGGAAAACAAAGGACTATCTTTGGGTAGGGCTTGAACTCTTGAAACTGGCTAAAGGATGACATGGGACACCCTCAAGTTTGTTATGTCAAGAGGGCTGGATAGAGAGGTGCTGATAAATGTGCTGAACTATGTGCAGAGGTAAGACAAATGAAAATTGTGGTTTTCCAGAGCTCAGCAAGAGCCCTGTCAGAAGGGGTATTAGTACATGTGAATCTGTTGGGGTACAAAAACCAAATCCAGGGAAGTTTGGAGCAACTCTGGAAGGGTTGCTTTCACCCTTTAGAGGGATGTCCAGAGAGGTTATATGGTGGTGATAGACTGCCCCAGACATCTGAGTTGTCACTCCTGAGGTGATGGGGGTGTGTCAGTGCTGGTCCACCCTGTGGTGGGCAAAGGGACATGAAAGGTGTTCTGGGTTTCACAAAATCCTAGGATCATGTTTCCACAATGAAATAAAGTGGATTTAGAAGGAGTGTGAGAGCAACCACTGGAACTGGTTTAGAAAGAGGCATTTCTGTTTGTGAAAATGGGCAGGGAGAGTCCTGAATCTCTTCATGGTCCTTACCTACCCTTCATACCAGAAACCAGAGAGACATTGTGCAATGAATCAGGGGCTTCAGTAGGTTTTCCCAGCCAGACCCATGCAGGTATGGGCTGGACAGCTCAGATTTAGCTGTGAACCCAAACTCTGGATACATATTGTTATGCTAAAATCATGTAATCTTAAGAACCATTGCCCCATGTTCACCGTCCTTCTAGCCTTAGAAATATGCACAAGCAGCACTATAAGTTGAGTGGCTTGGCTGAGAAGATGAACCATGGTTATAATTTTTACTGCTTTGGTGGGTTAAATCTGACAGCATCTTGGTGATGTGGAAGGGAGAAAGGAGCAATTAGACACGGGTAAACACAAGGTTGATAGACGAAATTATAAAAGACTGGTCCATATTTTATTTTGCAGACTATTTAAAAATATGGTCCTATGTTTAATGTTAATGGAAATCATCATTCATGCAATATTGCCATAGGAACATTTCTATTAACATTAAACATACTTTGATACCAGTAAATGTTACTGGCTGGCAGAGGAAAGTTACAACATGTGTAATTTTGCTCTTTGTTTTCTCTTACCATGTGTAGGTGTCTGGGTGGCACTGTTTAGTATCAGGTGATTATAATTTTGTTCTTGGTCATCTGAAATTCAGAAAAAAAAAAAAAAAGAATCCCTTTAAGAAACAGCTTAGCATATCCACTGATCTGCAGATGATAATTACAGCTCACAGTATTCACAGGAAATCTCAGCATGATTAAAGAAAGGAGAAGAAAATGCTTAAGAAAGCAGAAGATTCTGTTATGTAGTTCACTTAAAATTCCAGATGCAAGAAGAACACGATAATGGGAAACTGCTCCCGTTCTGCTGAGCCTGCAAATTAGTTATCTGCAAAGGTAAGAGGCATGTCCAAACAGGGCAAACCACAACTGGTGTACAGACATCAGTGGTATGTTCCTGGGAACTGCTGAAACGCTCAGCCCCCACTCCACTTCTCCATCCCCACCCAGCATGGAGGTTTTCAGGACATTAGCCCAAACTACAGGAACACCAGACTGTCCCACTGTGACCACAAAACCACAACAACAGCGTGCTGTGTGAGTACAGGGAAAGATCAAAAAAGGTGGCCTCATAAACACAGGAGGTAAATAGCTGCACATGGACTGTAGATGTCTCTCCCCGGAGAAGTGAGAGTCCTGTAAGACTGGTGCATTCAGTATTAAAGGCACCGTGCTGCAAAGTAGGAGGAACGATCAACGGCAGAATGACTGCTACCATTGTGTTTAGTAACTACCCTTTGGGTTGGAAAACAGCTTTCCCTCTTTCTCACTGTAATAAAACCATTAGATAAGTGACTGCTGGTAAACTGCTATCATCTTCCCTTTCCAGACGAGCCTTCCTAGATTATGGAAGTGTTGTAATGTCGGGTGAGATTTCAAGAAATCTTCTTCCATCTCAAGCTCTCCCAGTGCAGGATGGGTTAAATTGATGTCTAGTCTGCTATTCTTAAAAACCTATCATTGATATTTCACTTTCTCCCCCAAACACCTGTGTCATTAAGTCTTTCTTACTGCTTTTTAGGCCAACTGCTTCTTTCCTGTCTATGAAGGACATGGAAAAAATCCCCTTAATTTCTGCAATAGCTTTTTATGACAAAGCTGTTACTATGTGTCCCCTTAACTTTATTCTTCAAGCTAAACAATGCAATTTCCTTTATGTTTCCCTATAAAACCTGATTTGCCTTTGATTATTGTCATTCCAGCATCCTGTGCTCTGTCCAATTGACCTAGAAACTTCTCAAGTCTAGAATAGTCTGGGACATGTTTCTGAGAAGAGACCTCACCAGTACAGAGTGGAGTGGCTGGATTTTCCCCAGTTATCTAGGCTGGTTCACACAAACTTGCACAATATTTTTCTTTTCCTGGTCCATGTAAAATTTGTGATCCATTATGATTCCTTATTGCTTTTCCAAAGAACCTGTCCAATTGTTCTTCAACATATGCAAGTCTTTTTAGCATTCCTGTTTCAGTCCAGTGCATAGCATTTTTCTCAATTTAATCAATTTATCTTCAGCCTATTTCTCCATTTTGTCAAGAACATTTAAATTCTAATCCCATCCTCTAATAGACTTATGGTCATCCAAGCTTCATATCAGCTGCAAATTTAATAAGAATTTTTTTTTTTTTTTCCACCAGTAACAAAAAAGACTCAATCCAGAGCCACATCAGCTCCTTCTGATTCCTTCTACTGATATTTCATTACCTTTTGTGGTTAGCAGCCATTTTGGCATCTGCCCTATAGAGGTTGATTAAGAACATGCTTCTCAAATTAGTCTCATATTACTTCCCCAGAAACTGCTGAAAGTCTTGCTATGGTCATGTTCCTTAATATAGGTTACTTTTCCCTGGACACAAAATACAGGAAAAAATAAAAATAACATTTTCTTGATGTGATTTGTTTCTGAGAAGTCCATGTTGGTTACTACTTTATCTCACTGGAAACCCATCTCCCTTCACAGAATGCTGAATGTCTGTGTACAGCCAGGATTAAAATCAGAGGTTATTTATTTGGATGACAACAGACTGGACACCTTAGCTTACTTCTCCAGGTAGTAAATAGGCAGTCATTATATACACAGACAGCTGAAAATATAGAAAGGATATCAGCTTGGCTATCAGTATGTGATGAGCAAACCTTGAAAGGAGACCAGGTTCACACAGACACCTAAAGTGCCCTTGAATAAGTGGCCTACAGGTCTAAGTTAGAATTTTCCTTTGGATCTTCCACTGCTGGTTACTTTTAGCAAGTAAAAACACTGCAGTAACTACTTCCATGACTTCAGTTTTTGTTTCTCCATATAGTCTAATTTCAGTTTAACATGAAAAGTGGACCAATGGATGGGTGGGACAAATAAGAAACTGGATATTTCTGGAATCCCTGTAACTACCCAGAGTGATTTCAGAGATACAGGATCAGATGAGGCACTTTTCATCTAGCTTCCAGCAAACATGATCCACAATCCCACTCACTAATTTCTGCTTTGGGTTTTAACTGCTTACAGAGTTCAAATAGACCTTTTCAGTAATATGATTTTGAAAGACTGTGTGTGATGATAAGTCTGATACATGTCTAAAAAATAGCTGCAGTAGTTTTAGTCTTCATAAACAAAACCCGCAATATAGTTTGGGCCTTAACGCAACCATCTGGCTTTATCTCCTATTAGATCTTTCGTAATTTTGGTGGTACTAAGAAAAAAATTTATTACTAGAAAACTCTTCCACATGTAGATATTTCTAGATCATAAGGCTTGTCAATCATCACCTTGATTATTCTATTATATAATCTAAATATTCTGTGCTCTTGAAAACACATGGGGCTAAGGTCTGGACTGGTACGTATAGACATAATCAAATTCAGTTCGTGACACTGTCAGGCAGAAATGTGTTTTGAACGTTAGACTCGTGTTTAATCATTATATAACTTGTGTATAATCATTAAATTTGAACATTTAGACTCGTGTTTAATCATTATAGCCAGCAGTGGGGCTTTGGAGCAGTCTCCACTACGCAGAATTTTTAGGGTTTTTGGCTGCAAAGGCAGCTGTTCTGTGCAGTGTACATGAGGAATGTCTGTGTCCTGAGAACAGCTGTTTCTCTCTTATGGCTGGTTTTCTGTTATGAAGTTCATAAAATCACAAAATCATTGAGGTTGGAGGCACCTCTGGAGATCATCTAGTCCAATCCCCTCCTCAAAGATGGGTCAGCTAGAGTGGGTTGCCCAGGACCATGTTCATTACGCCTTTGAATATCTCCAAGGATGGAGAGTCCTTATCCTCTCTGCAAATCAGCTTCCCGTGTTCAATCACCCTCAGAGTAAGAAAGTTTTTTCTTATGTTTAAGTAGAATTTTCTGTATTACAGCTTGTGATCATTGCATCTTACCCTTCACTGGGGACCACTGAGAAGAGCCTGTCTCTATTTTCTTTACTTACCCATCATTTATTTGCATACATTGATCAGTTCCCCCCAAGCCTTCTCTTCTCGAGGCTGAAGAGACGCAGAATTCAGCCTCCCCCATTACAATAGATGTTCCAGTCTCTTAAATATCTTCCTGGTCCTTTGCTGGACCCACTCTAGTTTGTCTATGCCTTTCCTGTATGGGCGGGCCCATCACTGCTCCCAGCACTACAGGCGTTTCTCACCAGTACTGAGCAGTTTGGAATGATCTCTCCCTTGACCTGCTGGAAAAACTCCTCCAAATGCAGTCCAGGATGCTAGTGGCCTCCTTTGCCTCAAGGGCACATTGCTAGCTGTATGTTCAACTTGGTGTCCATCATGCATTTTACCAATTATTTTACCCACCATTTATTACTTTATTTATAAGTTATGAAATCTATCTTTGAAAGTTGCAAACTAGGTAGTTAGTAATGAGCCTGTTATATTTTTGATGACCTCTCCTTGATATTTGCAGCTGATAAGTTCATTGAGCATGACTAAATTGCTATACAGCCACTTCTCTCCTGAAAACCTTAAAAAGTGAGAGATTTCCCCAGGAGGTGTCCATCCTTTCACATGCTCTTATAGTAGCCTGTGGTTCCTATGCTAGCCCCTCTGGGTTTCAGCCAGGCCTAGGGCTGCAGTCATGCAGTGTAGCTAAGGACAGCAAGGACTACCAGCCTTGCTACAGCAAAGTTAATTTACAAATCAAGCTGCAGAAAATATCCAAACTCTTTGTCCTCTTTCTAAGCAATGTTGCTTACACACTACAGGAGCTGACAGATAAAACGTTACACAGAGATGGAGACACTTGTGTGTGTGAAATTCGAGCATTTTAAACAGTAGCAGTCATAACTGCAATACATAAGTTGTTCCAGAAGGGAAGCAACAGAGGTTTCTCTCTCTTGAAAACACAGAGTACTTCAATGCAGTCACTTACTCTCACAACCTCACTCCTGGGTGAAACTGTGTCTTTAGTGAGGACAATTACACCTGTGCCTACATGAATAGGAACTATCATCTTCCAAGTCTGATCAGCTTTCCATTTCACCCCAAATACTTTCCCTTTCCCTTTCCCTTTCCCTTTCCCTTTCCCTTTCCCTTTCCCTTTCCCTTTCCCTTTCCCTT